TGCCATAGCTATTTCTGTTTTTTTGTTGTATATTTTTTCTTTTTTGTGGCCTCAACCTCTAACTATTTATAATAAATGGTTTTATGTCACAATTAAATCTAATAGTAAGTTCGGCTTGTGACAATCTCTTAGGAATAATTTGATGATCCAGAAACTAACAGTGCATTATAATAAAATGCCTGAATTAAAACTCTTTAAAAAAGAAGGTCTGAAAGATGATTCTATTACTAAAGAATCTATTTTGATATAGGGTGATGCATAATTTTAAGGTAAAAAATAGAATACCAATATGTAAAAACTCACTTTATTGCCTCTCATAATTCCCTAGTCTTAAAGCACAATTATATTAAATTGAAGAATTGTTGTCTGTTCCATATTTCCATAAAAACAAAATTCTTTTTCATCTGTTCAACCAATATAATTAAACTCTTAATGGCAAGACTTTACTTTTGGAGATTGACTACTATTTTCAATTCAATCTTAATGTCTTTTTAAGTATCTAGATGACTTAGATCAATTATTCAGTTTCTTATCCTTGTGGTTGTAATATATGCTAACCTGATGAATCAGTCTGAATGTATTGCAAATTCTAATACAGAGCCTAAAATGACTCCTGATACCACATCCGTTATTAGCTCGGTAAGAGATCCCAATATTTTAACTTTTTAGAGTATTTGACTTAAGCAAACCATAAGTATTTAGATGCACAACAAATTGGGCCAAAACTTTTTAAACAAGTGACGATATTTTCATTCCTGTTTATGTATGATTTTTTTTGTTTTATTATAACTTCGAGGATTATAAGTTAAATATGAGAAGTTGATAATTAGGCTTGGCATCATCTTTTGATCCATCCTGTTATGTTGAACTCTTTGATAGATAATAGCGTGTTCCTTTTTTTGTGGATTTAATTTACCATTATCACTGACATTCTCTTGTTAAAACTAATCCTCAACATCTTCTGACAGCAAGACATATTCTTTTTCGATTATTGGTTCATATTTTGTCATCTTCTTCATACATCTTATTCAATCATTAGTCATATAAATGACTTGTGATATGATGTAAATTACATTCAACAATAGAGGTTTAGTATTATTTGAAATTCTCTAAAAGTGCTGGGTGAGTTATTAGTTATGTTGAGGTTAAAATTCAAGGCCAGTTATCTTGCTTATCCGTCATGTTCTTCATTTACAAGGAGAGAGAGCCCTTTTTTCTTTTTGTCGAAATAATCCTTGACATATTCCAACAGCATTACCTTTTTAAATTATATTCTGGATTTCTATTTGCTTAGCCTAAGTTATTGCAACTAAAGAACTAATACAACTTATTGAGGATTAACATTAAAGCACAACTTCCATTTATAACTTTTAAAATTGGCAATTTTATCCTCAATTCACCAGCTGCTTTGAATTTTTGTTTAATCTAGTTTATTTTACAAAGATTAGAATTGATTTGTGAACCAGTATTGTTTCTGTTTTTCCAAATTGGATTGATTATTAGTGCAATTACACAATCAAATGTTCACAAAAAATTAAATGGGGCAAAGGTAAAATTAGAGCTTATATTTGAGTTGTTTGTTATCACATTCTTCAAAAATTATCAAACTGAAAGAGAAAAAATGCTACCTACTGTACTTTAATCTTTAGTGTGATGTGCTTCCTCAGTTGGAATAAAAAACAAACAATTCCTTGCAACTTGTTTTGAATAGCTATTGTAAGTATCTCCTGATTGCTTCTACTATCACGCCGAAACCATGTAGAAAGTGGTTGACCAAATGTAGCTTAATTCTATCAAATTATGTTCATCTTCTATATTTTGCTGAAGATTAGGACATTAATCTTAGCAACCTTTTTCAAAGCACTTTGGCATAAACTTTAATGAACAATGATATATATTTGGACATTATATATCAGCAACTGAGAAAACTATCATTACTTGATATCAGGTGCGATAGACTTGAATATTAAAAAAAAATTTTAAGACGTTAATGTGCTTTTCTACATTATTTTTTTCTGCAACCAAATTGATAAAATTTTCAAATCTTATGAAGGTTGAAGAACATTTTTGTGTACAAAATTTGTTGAATTCCTTCAATCGTTAATAGTGTTCACGAGTTGCCTATAAAGATCTTGTGTTGCTAATAAATTTCACAAGATTTCGTAAGGCTTTAAAATTATTATTATATGAAGGAATTGGCTAATGACAATTACAAAGATGTTTTTTTAGATTCTCGACTTATGCTCTAATATTTGATCGCGCAAACCTTAATATCTCATTACCAATTATATCTGTTGTATACATTGCTTATAATACTTTTTGATGATTCAATTTATTACTGTTGATAATCTAAGCAATATACAGAGAGCTGCGTTGTTAGCTTTGAATTTATAGGTAAAAGCTAACACACCTAAAATAAGAGCATTGATACACAGCATCTCTGCTATATATTTATTTATATATGATGAATTTCTTCTCTTTATGATTTTAATTTCCAATATATGAAGCTTATGAGGGCTTGCAAGTTTCACATAGTACATATGTGACAGTTTATATAACTTGATAATATCCTTGTAGCTATTGGAATTTTAAATAAATTAATGCATTGCTAAATGATTTTAGAAGTCGAATATTTGATGCCATAAAATAGAAATTATCCCAAAAATTAAATGATTACAATTATTTTACCTTAAAATATCTTAATCTAAAAATAGACTTTTGTGTTTTTTTGATTCATAAACAACAATAATTAAATTACGAAAAAGTGTTTCTCTCATATGGTTGATATCTACAATTGATTTGAGAATGAAATTAAATATTAAATATTGAGAATGCTGATCATCCAATTATTTAATGTAGAGAATTGATTAATTGCATATGAAATTAAAAGGATTTATTTTTTGTAATCTTAGAAAATTTCAAACCTGTAGGATTTTATTCTCCTCAATTTTACTTTTCATTTTAGTTTCATAAAATTGACATGCAAGATTGTTATTTTTTATAGATACGAACTTGAATAATAAATATTTCTTATTCTGACCAATACTCTCTTTTCATTCAACAACTCTAAAGCTTTTTAAATAAGCTACTTGGAATAAAGAATAATATGTCTACTTACTTGTTTCTTTGATAATTGAAGCTTCCATTTTCTTCCACTTTCTACTATAAACATAAGAACTTAACGATCAATAGTTTGATTATTTTTTTTTAGATTTATTCTAATTATTGGTCGAATCTTTTTTACATATGTCTAATATTTTCATTTTGACAATATTAGGTGCAAATATTCCAATTTTAAACTTTCATATTCTTCTTTTTCTTATTAATCGACCTATTTAAGATTTTAAATATCAGAACATTATGGCCATATTTTTGTAACAAGAATTATATTTAGAACAATAGACCTGAATTATTTGATATTTATAAAGAATACAAATCTTATTTTAGGAATATTATCACGACCTTCAAGAATAACTGACTTTAGATAAACCTACCAAGGTTNGTGTTCACGAGTTGCCTATAAAGATCTTGTGTTGCTAATAAATTTCACAAGATTTCGTAAGGCTTTAAAATTATTATTATATGAAGGAATTGGCTAATGACAATTACAAAGATGTTTTTTTAGATTCTCGACTTATGCTCTAATATTTGATCGCGCAAACCTTAATATCTCATTACCAATTATATCTGTTGTATACATTGCTTATAATACTTTTTGATGATTCAATTTATTACTGTTGATAATCTAAGCAATATACAGAGAGCTGCGTTGTTAGCTTTGAATTTATAGGTAAAAGCTAACACACCTAAAATAAGAGCATTGATACACAGCATCTCTGCTATATATTTATTTATATATGATGAATTTCTTCTCTTTATGATTTTAATTTCCAATATATGAAGCTTATGAGGGCTTGCAAGTTTCACATAGTACATATGTGACAGTTTATATAACTTGATAATATCCTTGTAGCTATTGGAATTTTAAATAAATTAATGCATTGCTAAATGATTTTAGAAGTCGAATATTTGATGCCATAAAATAGAAATTATCCCAAAAATTAAATGATTACAATTATTTTACCTTAAAATATCTTAATCTAAAAATAGACTTTTGTGTTTTTTTGATTCATAAACAACAATAATTAAATTACGAAAAAGTGTTTCTCTCATATGGTTGATATCTACAATTGATTTGAGAATGAAATTAAATATTAAATATTGAGAATGCTGATCATCCAATTATTTAATGTAGAGAATTGATTAATTGCATATGAAATTAAAAGGATTTATTTTTTGTAATCTTAGAAAATTTCAAACCTGTAGGATTTTATTCTCCTCAATTTTACTTTTCATTTTAGTTTCATAAAATTGACATGCAAGATTGTTATTTTTTATAGATACGAACTTGAATAATAAATATTTCTTATTCTGACCAATACTCTCTTTTCATTCAACAACTCTAAAGCTTTTTAAATAAGCTACTTGGAATAAAGAATAATATGTCTACTTACTTGTTTCTTTGATAATTGAAGCTTCCATTTTCTTCCACTTTCTACTATAAACATAAGAACTTAACGATCAATAGTTTGATTATTTTTTTTTAGATTTATTCTAATTATTGGTCGAATCTTTTTTACATATGTCTAATATTTTCATTTTGACAATATTAGGTGCAAATATTCCAATTTTAAACTTTCATATTCTTCTTTTTCTTATTAATCGACCTATTTAAGATTTTAAATATCAGAACATTATGGCCATATTTTTGTAACAAGAATTATATTTAGAACAATAGACCTGAATTATTTGATATTTATAAAGAATACAAATCTTATTTTAGGAATATTATCACGACCTTCAAGAATAACTGACTTTAGATAAACCTACCAAGGTTCGTTGAACTGCTCAATTTCTTATAATGTTTACTATGGAATATGCAATAATCAATTTTAAATTGGGCGGAAGCATACGATCCATGTTTTTTAATCAAAATAAACTCAAGTAATTTTATTCAAAAGCAATATTTTGTAGTAAATCACTTGAGTATTTATTTAATTATATAAGAAATCAGAATTAAGGAAGGCTTCATCTTTTTATTGGTTTAGGATTTCTTTGTTTATCAAATCCTCTTGTTGTGGAATCTCAATTTGACTATTGCTCTCCAAAATGAATAAAGCTTATTTTACGAAGAATAAAGAGTTTTCAAAATCTTGCCACTTTAGAAAGCAATTCAAAGCTCTCTAAAATTCTCTGTCTCTTTGAAATGACCTTGCTCAAATAAAGAAAATTCTTTACTAGCCTGAGATTCTCTCTATTTATTCTGTAATCCTTTTAAGTATTTATCTCTATTAATAAATAAAATGCGGGAGACCAGATATTTTCCTAAACAAAACTACATTCAAAAGCTAATTTTTAAACAGGTATTATAAAATTTGGCTTACATAACAGCTCTAAGATCAATATCACTCCTAAGTAGGGACCACTAAGATTGTATCCTTAAAGATGGAGAGTAACACTAAAAGAGTTTAATTTAAGTACATCACTTTTTTTATCAATATACCGACAAAATATTAATAAATATAGAGTGTGTGTATTATTATTCTTAAATATTAATAAAAATGAATATAAAGTGCTTTACTATACGAATATGATAATGCTTCAAACTTTGATAGTTGCCCTTTTTATATAAGCATTCTAACCAAAACCCATTTCCAAAGCAGCAAAATAAAAGTATTTAGCTTCTGAACTTCTACGTAATTCAAATAATGAATCAGCTATAGAATTTAAAGTTGTATATACCTTTATATTCTAATCTATGAGCAGTAGGATTTATTTTAAGTTCTTGATCAAAAATTGTGAGTGCATCCATATGTTTTTCTATTATTTTTGTATTAAAATATTGTTGAGGTAAATTATTAGGATTAAACCTGAATAAAAAATATCATTACCTTTTTTTACAGCATAATCAGATTTAGGGTTAATAAATATAGCTTCATTGTAACATTTAATTGCTTCTTAGTATTTATTCAATTTGTATAATAGACTACCTACATATTAATATTTAAGAGTTAGTTATCCTTATTATTTCTAGAAGCATCAGATTTAGAGATAATAGCTATTGCTTCGTTGTAACATTCAACTGCTTCCTAGTGTTGTTTGAAATTTCTTAATGCATTTCCTATAATTTAATATTTAAGAATTAGTTACCTTTATTATTCCAAAACTAATCAAATTTAGGGTTAATAGCTATTGCTTCATTGAAACATTTAACTGCTCCCTAAAATTATTTCAATTCATATAATGCATTCCCTTTAAATTAATATTTAACAATTAGTTACCCTTACTATTCCAACACTAATCAGATTTAGGGTTAATCGCTATTGCTTCATTGTAGCATTCAACTGCTTCCTAAAATTATTTCAATTCATATAATGCATATCCTATATTAGTGCTTTGTTATTAATTGTATCACTACCTTTTTCTAAACTAAAGATCTAAATTTTACTAAACTATTGTGTATTGTACGTCGAAAAATATTAATTTATATACTAACAAAAAACACATATTATTATAAGAAAAAGATTAAAATTATAATTGCAATGTTTTTAATGGATATTCAAATTTACTTTTGTTTTAAGTCTTCTAAAAAGCAACTACCCTTTGATTTAAACAAAGGTTGTAAATCTTTCCCTTAATGATTAATGAATTGTCCTTATAGGATAAGTGTTCCTGATGCTTCTAATAAAGGATTCTAACATATTCTAAGTATTGTACAATCAGGATTAACTAAAGTTAATTTATAATAAATACCATTTGGCAATAAGGAGCTATTCTGAAGAGGTATGTTGAACTAAGCAAGCAAATCTTTATAGCTACCATCTGATTGCAGTATTTCCTTTGATATTTGTACATTCCAAAGTCGAATAGAGTTATCATCACTACCAGAAGCTAATGTATTTCCATCAGGGGAGAAATTGATTGAACAAACTGTTGATGAATGGCCATCTAATTTGTCTATTTATTATCCTGTCTTAACATCCCATAAACGGATAGACTAATCTGAACTACCAGATGCTAATGTAGTACCATCAGGAGAGTAACAAATTGAATTAATGTAATGCGAATGACCATCTAATTTGGCTTTTTATTATCCTGTCTTAACATCCCATAAACGGATAGAGTTATCTGCACTACCAGATGCTAATGTAGTACCATCAGGAGAGTCACAAATTGTTCTTACATCATTTGAATGACCATCTAATTTTGCTTTTTATTATCCTGTCTTAACATCCCATAAACGGATGGAGTTATCTGAACTACCAGATGCTAATGTAGTACCATCAGGAGAGAAATTGACTGAAGTAACTGCTTATTTATGACCATCTAATTTGGCTTTTTATTATCCTGTCTTAACATCCCATAAACGGATAGAAAAATCTCCCCCTTTCTAATTAGATCCACTAGCAGATGCTAATGTAGTACCATCAGGAGAGTAGCAAATTGAGTTAACCCAATCTGAATGGCCATCTAATTTTGCTTTTTAGCATCCTGTCTTAACATCCCATAAACGGATAGACTTATCATTACTACCAGATGCTAGCATAGTGCCATCAGGAGAGTAACAAATTGAATTCACTTAAAATACATGACCTTATAATTAGGCTTTTTATTTTCCTGTCTTAACATCCCATAAATAGATAGAATTATCATCACTACCAGATGCTAATGTAGTTCCATCAGGAGAGTAACAAATTGAATTAACTTAATATTCATGACCATATAAAATAGCTGTTTAATTTCCTGTATGAACATCCCAAATACGGATAGAACAATCTCCCCCTCCATAATTAAATCCACCACCAGATGCTAATGTAGTACCATCAGGAGAAAATTTGACTGATCTAACTGTATCATAGTGACCATTCAATTTGGCTCTTTATTATAATGTCTTAACATCCCATAAACGGATAGACTTGTCTCCACTATTAGATGCTAATGTAGTACCATCAGGAGAGTAACAAATTGAATTAACAAAATTTGAATGACCCTATAATTTGGCTTTGAATTATCCTGTCTTAACATCCCATAAACGGATAGACTTATCATTACTACCAGATGCTAATATAGTACCATCAGGAGAGTAACAAATCGAATTAACTTAATATTAATGGCCATCCAATTTGGCTTTTAACTATCCTGTCTTAACATCCCATAAATGAATAGCCTTATCATAGCTGCCCGATGCTAATGTAGTACCATCAGGAGAGAAATTGACTGAAGTAACTACTTAGTAATGACCATCTAATTTGTCTTTTTATTTTCCTGTCTTAACATCCCATAAACGGATAGAACAATCTCTCTCTCCTATACTAGATTTACCACCAGACGCTAATGTATTACCATCAGGAGAGAAATTGACTGCTCTAACTGCTTATTAATGACCATCTAATTTGGCTTTTTAGCATCCTGTCTTAACATCCCATAAACGGATAGAATAATCTCCTCCACCATATTCAGATCCACCACAAGATGCTAATGTCGTACCATCAGGAGAGAAAATGACTGATCTAACTGTATCAGAATGACCATCTAATTTGGCTTTTTATTACCCTGTCTTAACATCCCATAAACGGATAGAATAATCTCCTCCACCATATTCAGATCCACCACTAGATGCTAATGTCGTACCATCAGGAGAGAAATTGATTGACATAACCTTTTTAGTCTAACCCTCTAATCCTAATTTGAATTTTTACTTTCCTGTTTTAAGATTCATTAAATACACAAATTCTCTGCTGCTGAATGCTAATGTAGTATTATTAGGTGAGAAACAAACTGATTTTATCTCCCCTATACCCCTAATTCTGCCCTTTTCTTACCCAGTTCTAACATCCCACAATATAATCAAACTATCATCACTACAAGTAGCTAATGACTTACCATCTGGAGAGAAGCAGACCGAATTGACATTTCTAGAATGACCATCTAATTTATTTAACTCATGTATTTTGATATTTTTCCATTTACAATTAAACAATTAAGCTTAATTCAAGTTCATTCCACTAATATCTACATTGTCAAATTCTGATCCATTGAATATGCATCTTACAAAATTTCCACCAACTAAAGAGGTATTTCTTATCCTGATATTCTCAAAACTTTATTCCCTCAAATCCACTTTCATTTAAACTAGTAAATTAAGAGAATTTGATCCACACTAAATATATGTCTCATCTAAAGCAGTCAGATGAACTAAAAATTTTAGGAATTCTATTATCTTCTTATTCAATGATATTTTTGTGATTAGATCCTTTTTAAATTCTTCATAATCATCCATTGAATAATTCTGTGTATTAAAGTCATGATCCCTAACTTTTTTTAGGACACCTGTTATTATCTTAATGTTCTTCTCTCCATTAAGAGTCTATTCTTTCTCAAGCAGTGATTAGGTTTCTACCTTTTAACTTTCTATTTCTAAAAGGAATTTGTTTTGATCTTATGAGAGAAATTTTTGGCAGTCTTAAGTTCTCTCTTTTTTCAATGTGTTTATCAGGATATGGAGAAATTCTTCATCAACCTCAATAGATAAGGACAAAACCTCATACAACACTTCTACTTACTCTTTTTTGTAGTGCATTACCTTTTTTTAAAAAAATTATTGAATTTCTTTTACTTTATTTTGAGTTTTATACTATGAATCAAAAATGTATCTTGCATATTATTGTTTGGAAGAAATATCAATATCACAAAGATTTAGGATTGATGTAAATTATACAAGGGAAAACTTAAATTGACTTATGCATAATTGGATTCCAAAAGAATATAGAATAAAAATAACACAAATAATTCAAAACACTAATATATTATTTTAATTATCGAGAATTTATGAGTTTAAGTATTCTATTTATTCTAAATCATAATTGTTCAAAAATATCAATACAAAGTGGTAACTTCTATAGCAAATTTTTACAAGAAACTTGCCAATTTGGTTTTAAATTCACTAGTATATGAGGGGTGTAATTTCAAACTTTTTAGGAGAAAATACATCTACATTTACATAATATCAATAAATTTAGTTAATTCAAAAAATTTATTGTCTAATTGAGTTAAACTCAAAGTTATAGAGAAGAACAATTTTGTTAATTTTTTAACATGGTAATTTCTTAATTTCATAATCAATTAATAAAATTAAACTATTTGACTGTCTCTTTTTCCATCAAAGTTCTGATATAACCTTTGATAATACACTCGATATTATAGTTGTGTAGATATTCATTAATTTGTGAAAAAAATCAGTTTGAGAAAGGATTATCCTAATGATTAATAGCTGTTCCTTATATGCAAAATTATTGAAAGTAGCTCCTTTTTGGATGTAATTCAAATAGAACGTATTTAAGATTACTTAGGGATGGATATAATCATGATCTCTAAATCTTATTAGGGGTTAGAATACTTATTGATGATTAAGATATGTTTTCAGTCCTTTATTATATCTAATAATTTAAATATCAATTGAAAATAATAAATAACAGGTTACGAAAATAGTAATTGTAAAAATCATTCAATCCAAAAGTTTATATATTAGTAAGTTTAATTTTATTTTTTAAATTCTTAAAATGTATCTTTCTTCTTATCTTTGTTATTAATTGTATCATTACCTTTTTCTAAACTAAATTTTACTAAACTATTAATAATCTATATTATGACTTAACTTGTTTACTCTATTTATATTATAAATTTAATAGTGTATTGTATTAATAACCTTT